TGGTGATGCAAACTCCTCTTTTCCAATGTTGAGTCACTTGCGTTTACAATTCTGTAACCTAAGCATGTTTCCAGAGTTTTTAAAGAGTCAAACTAGTTTAGAATATCTTGTCCTTTCAAATAACAAAATAAGTGGTGCAGTGCCAAACTGGGTGTGGAAGAAAAGTTTGTGGTATCTAAATCTTTCTAACAATTCTCTCTCATCTTTGGACCAATTTTCTTTGAACCAATCTCTAACTTCTTCACAAGGCTCTTTATCAAGACCTATTTGCAATTTGAGTCAACTTGCGACCTTTAATGCATCCTTTAACAAATTAAGTGGGCCAATCTCAAGTTGCTTGGGCAATCTCAGTTCCCTCAGCTCTTTGGATCTACAAAAAAATAATTTCAGCGGCAGCATACCAGATTTTGCAAAAGCGACCCACTTATATTGGCTTCAACTCAATGATAATAAATTGGAAGGGAAGTTGCCAAGGTCATTAGCCAATTGCACAATGCTCCACGTTTTAAATCTTGGAAACAATACTCTGCATGACACATTCCCTTTGTGGTTGGGAAAATTGCCTGCATTGATGGTTCTTGTATTGCGTGCAAATAAGTTTTATGGTCCAATTAAACATATGAAAAATTGTTTTCAAGATTTGGATGTACTAGACATTGCTTTCAATAATTTTTCTGGTCAATTACCAATTGAATTCTTTCAAGCCCCTCAACTAAGGTCACTCAACATTGGTGCGAATAAACTGGAAGGAAAGTTGCCGAGGTCATTAGCCTATTGCAAAAAGCTTGAAGTTTTGGATGTTGGAAAAAATATGATACAAGACACATTTCCTTTTTGGTTGGTGAAATTGCCTTCTTTAAAGGTTCTTGTACTAAGAGCAAATAGATTTTATGGTCCAATTAAAATTTCTGAGGATGAAAATGTTTTCCCAGAATTACACATATTGGACCTCGCTTCCAATAACTTTTCAGGTGTGTTATCTGTTGGATTTTTTCAATCTTTGAAGGCAATGAAGTCGATGACTGATCGCAACAAAGCTAAGCCAGATTACATTGGAGACATGTACTACCAGGACTCTATGACAATTGTGAATAAAGGGTTTGAAATTTTTTACAAGAAAATCTTAACCATCTTTTCTTGTCTTGACCTTTCCAATAATAGTTTCCATGGGAGAATACAGGAGGAAATACAAAACCTCAAGTCACTCAAAGCGCTAAACTTCTCCTACAACAGCTTCCTTGGCCCAATCCCTTCAGCACTTGGAAACTTAACTGAGCTTGAGTCGTTGGACCTCTCCCAGAACAACCTCTCAGGAAAGATTCCTCCACAGCTTGCAAGCCTAACTTTTCTTGAAGTATTGAATCTCTCTTACAACCAACTTGAGGGAAGCATACCACAAAGCTACCAATTTGGTACATTTCAAAACGATTCTTACAAAGGGAATCCAAGATTGTGTGGGCCGCCTTTGACAAAGAAATGCAATGAAGTTGGTCTTGGAATGCAACCGCCTAAGGAAGATGAGGATTCATGGGTAGACGGTATATCTGTTTGGAAAATCGTTTTGACTGGGTATGGATGTGGTTTGGTAATTGGGTTATCTATTGGATATACAATGCTGAATGAGATGGGGAACAAATGGATGGATAGGTTTACATGGAATCGAAATCAAAAATGGAGAAGATCTTCTAGGTGACTCCATCAAAATTCAAGTTTCAAATTCATTTGGTAAGCATTCTAGAATACTCAATAATTCAAAAGTTTTCTTATTGGTTCTTTCAGCTGTAGTTTATTGCCTAAACAAATAAAATTATTTAAATACTCTGGTGCATTATAAGTGTGATATATATATATATATATATATATATATATATATACTCATTTCCCTTTTAAACTTGGCATTGCTTTTAAAACTGAAAACAAAAATTGCCTGCAACCGAGGATATGTCCTTTGAATTCCTAACCTCATGTTATAAATGACAATCATGAGTTTCCAAGTTAGTAATTTGTAAAAGACATGTGGGTGACTGGCATTTTGAGTTAGATTGGGCTGTCAACCATCTTAACAGCAAAGCAAAGCTTTGGCATCTATTGTCCTTAATTAGATTGGCTTGGGATGCTCATATATATTTTATTTGGCAGGAGCACAATCAAAGGAAGTTTGGCAGGCCATCTAAAGATATAGAAGCTATTGTTTCAACTATCAGAAGTTACTTTTCGCTTAGTTCAATAACAAGATTGCAGTCTTCAGTTGCACTCTTCCTCTTCAACAACAGAAATTGTGTCTGAATGTTTTTAGCTTGGTGTTACGGTACTTGTGTCTTAGTTCTTTCTCTTCTGTTCACCTAAGATGATTGGCAGTATGTCTGGTTGTATTGTGCTTCTCTTCTGTTCTGTCTATAAGGTGGCGTTTTACTGCTGAGTTATGGGGTTCCCCTGTTGTTCACCCTATTGTGTAACTCTGTTTTTATTAATAATTTCTGGCTTAGCAAAAGAAAAATGTGTCTGAATTGGGGACAGGTTCCTTAATGTTGCTTAGTTTGATTACTTTGCAAAAGTTAGATTGTTCTTGGACATTTGTAATGTTTTGATAGCTTACTGTTTACTTGTAGCAAGTCTAATGCTTTCTTTGCGTTAATAAAAATCATTCACCCAAAGAAATTCTTAACGAAAATCTTATTATCTTTTAAGCTCTTCATTATTGTTATACCTAAGTGATCATGTTAGCAGCCACATATTAGGTCTTACACATGAAAACCCCGTTTGCGACATCATCATCTAAAAGGTATAAAAAGTAGAACCAAACCAGAGAGATGATTCGCTACTGAACTCTCTCTACTCTCTTTAACTGCTTCTTATCATTTACTTGCTTCTGGTATACCTTACTAACTTAACTTGAGCGTCGGGGAATGCCTCAAAATAACATTTTTGGCACACTGACTTTCTGCTCTGTGATAGGTCACACAAACTCTCCTTCTCAACCTCCGGTAAAACTTTTGACTATCAGACCAGGAATTACATTAACAATATCAATTATTCAACTCAACTATTTGCGGTGCAGGAATTTGATATAAGCCATGGCATGTACAACAATGACTACGCCCACCACTTTAGCTGCCAAAACTAGAAGTTACATCTCCTAACACAGAAAAATCTTCACAGACCAAGCTCAAGCTAAGATGCTTTATTCCTGTATTAACTGCTACATCACTACAAAGAAGAAAACATCGAAAAGAAAATAACAAAGCTTCCGGTTCTAGGTATCAAGCTCGACAATTCCAAACTAACTTCGATAGTATTTTATTGTCCCTAACAACTATAGATTTGACTATGGCGAGAAAGAATGAAATATTTCGCTTATTATTTTCTTCAACTTTAATCCCATATCATCCTTTGTTTCTTTGCTTCAGCACTCCCACAGACAAAAACAAATGGCTTGTTGTAAGCTCTATTGCTATATGATTGATTTGCATGTAGAATAGACCTTGACTAAACAAAAACATGAGGGCAATACATTCAGTAACTTATATATACTCACTTCACTAGAATTCCAGTGAACCCTTTCAGTAACTTATTCTCTATCTAATAGAAATAAAGCGTCATAACTAAATAGGCAATATTCACATTGATGTGCTAAGTGTTCTGATACAGCCACTAATCCATAATTAAAAGATGAAGTTATAGAAGACATGCTATCTTTCAAGCACTGGTCATTTTATAGGTAGTTTTTTCTCTAGTAGTTACCTTGATGCTGTAAACCAGAAAGGTTGTCAAGCCTTCTGACATTTAGCCTATTTTGAGTATTAGCTCAGAATTTATGTTTAGAAGGTTGGTGGAGGTAAAAAGATATCTGATGACTTTGGGGTTGACAAAAGCCACATTGGGCAGAGTGATCATGCATATATGAAGACTGTGCCCCTAGAGGCTTTCTCCTACAACTGTCCTCATGCAGCCCTAAGTTCTTCCTCATTTGAATCCTTCTCTAACTAGAAATGTAAGTATCAACTAGAAAAATAATTTAATCTTATCAATTCGGTCATTTGAAAATTTTACAGAGCAAAAAGAAAACAAAAACTCATGCTAAAAAAGAAAATTTTAGAGGGAAAAAAGGAAACCAAAAAATATTACTATTTCTTGAGTTTAAGTTTAGGTTTGCTAGCTAATTTCATTTTTTTTTTATTTAATGCAGGACCTGTATTTTTCCAGGAAGAAAACTGATCATTAATGTTTTCTATGCTTTGGACTTGGACAGCACAAAAAATGACAGTTTCCATTAGCCGCCCTACCCAATTGAAACTACCTGCAATCCAACATTCTTAAACTCTTTGAAGTAACATCCTAGATCCTACCAGTATGTGTCATCGAGACCTGGATTCTGATCTGATCAAGCTGAATTCTTGGCCATTATGAAGGTTGTGAAGTTGGATGCTGACCCTTGGAAAATTAATACTGGATTGCAATGCTATCTCTAGGTAGAAGAAATGCTACTTCGTGGGTAAAAGGCAGCAATAGGGTTTGTTGGCATCTTAGGAACGCCAATTTTGTATATAAATTACAAGTTTTACAATTGTCTACTCATTCAGCTGTTTTCGACGACTCTTGGAATTTCATGTAAAAACCTAATTCTTGCTCTGCTTAATACTATCACTCAATTCATAAGTCTGTTGTGGAATGACAGAAAAAAATGCTTACCTAAATAGTAATGCACATGCCTGCAGCAACAATGATTTTAAAGAGCTCATCACTGCATAATCCAAAATTCCCCCAAGCTCAAGCAGGGAAATGATTTCGTTTAATAAGGTATTCAGACAAGGGAAATGATTTTAAAGGGCGATGAATCGTCATTGTCATCATCACTCTGGCCTACCCCTGCCTCATCATCATCATAATCGCTACCCAAAACCAGATTTCTCTTCCTTGCTTTCTCTGCTTCTTCCAGTCCTTCTCTAATTGCCATCCAGACTTGTAATCTCCACTATCATGCATAAACTTACATGAATCCTCTAACCACAGTAACCAGTTTCTTTGTAGTCTATACAGATGTCAGGTTGATAATCAAATCTCTCTGAAACCCTGATGTGGGCAGAAGCCCTAACGTGAGCCACCAGCTTTCTCACTGGCAACTGTCTGCTCCCTTCAAACGCAGCCTTATGATCCACATAGCCATGCTTTCCTTTATACAACTTCTCTCCCACAGAGCTTTGGCTTTCCCCTTCAAAGCCTCCTCTGCTTGTTTAAGAACTTTCTCACCTATAGCTCGAGCATCTTATATAAACTCAGTCTCAGTTTCTAAGGTTGCGGTAGCTCTGCTATCATTTTGAACTTGAAGTTCCTTCGAAGACTCAAATTGAAAAATCGGTTTGTCAAATTCTGTATCTGATTCATTGAGAGCAGCACTCCTGGGGGATCCAGTCGAAAAGTATAACTTATTGTCAGGCTTCAAAGCCCTCTTCTGATTGTGTGACGGGGATGTGCCATTTCTGGAGTCTTCATCTTCATCTTCATTTGTTTTCCTTTTCCTTATGTTTTTGCCCTTTGTTAGCTTCCTAAAGAAATTGCAGACTGAAAAATCGAAGAGTTAACTATATAAGTAAAGATACTGTCTGAATTTGATGCACACTAACAGAAACGGCCGGTTCTTTTTCATTATTATTATTTTTTTCAAAAAGAAATGTCACAATCACAGCGGCAATGGGAGAACGCGACCACCGGTGCAGTGGCGGGCTTCGCCACCGTTGCAGCGATTTACCCCCTGGACATTGTCCGTACGAGATTTCAAGGTAATCCTCTTCTTCTTCTTCTTCTTCCGTCTCTTTCTTTATATATACATAGTTTCGACAAAAAAGTTTCAGTTTTTTTGGTGCTGATTGGATCGAGTTTTCAAATAGTTAACGATGGTCGACTCACCAATTTCCCGACTTACAAGAACACCGCCCACGCCATTTTTATCATTACTAGCTTAGAGGTTCACACCTTTTTTTTTCTTTCATTTAATTAGGCTTAGGCACTTTATTTTTCTTTTCTCTCCATGTAAATTTGAGGTCTTTCTCGCTTTCATTGGAGATTAACGTTTCTCTTTTGTATGCTGTTTTTCTTTTGATATATGCTAAAAGTTTGGTGAGTTTGTCATGCAGGGTTTGAAAGGGCTTTATGCAGGCTTCTTTCCTGCAGTTTTAGCGTCCTCTGTTTCCTGGGGTTTATATTTCTTCTTGTAGGTGCCATCATCAATTTACATGTTACAACTTTTCCTTTGATTACAGTACATTTGTTGTCAAATATATGTGCACATTTGAATTATTAGCTGCAGCGGAAACGACTAATTTGCTGATTTTTTTTAATGTAAATAGATTGATTTTAATATGCAATGGGGAATATAAAGAGTTAATGTGTTTTGATTTGTTGAAAAATGTAGTGTGACAATCAATTAATCTAAAGTGTCTGCTACTACTGTCTTAATTTGATGCAAGTTGCAAATTATCTCTGTTGAAACCCAGTTTTGATGTTTAGAAACCAAAATTCTGAGTAGAGTTTGATATGCAATCAAACGGAAAAAGGGAAAAAAAACTCAACAAAAGAAATGTGCTTCTGCAATCTGCAAAATTGGCTTGAAGATCTTTCCTGATTGAAGTGAAGCTTCAGAGATGGAAAATTGGCAAGTAATAATAAGTAAACACATATTAATTACCTGCTTAATCCATTAAATAAGAGAAAAAAACCTTAATGACTTCATATCAATAATGAAATGGGCCTACTGCAACAATTCAGAAAATGGAATCATACTTCAAAAACATTCCATTTGCTACAATATTGATTGTACTGGTGACAATGTCTAACCCACAAGCATGAGCTCCATGACCAAAGGTCCCTGCAAATAGCTTCCACCAATGCCGAGGATTCTAAAGCTGTACATAGCAATTTGGTTGAAAGCAGATTTGTGAAGCTTTCATTTCATATAACTTGGCAGCAAGAAAATGATTGGGAGAAGCTAGTGAGTATGGAGAAACGATATGGACAGGATCACTATCTTCAATTTTGGACAGGATGTTTTGAAGTCAAGATCAGCTTGACGGGGTAAAGCAAAGACTTGGTGACTGGTGAGGAACTAAATAAAAACTGAAATAATACCTTCAATTTCCTTAAAAATATAAATAAAACTCAATGACAATGAAGTTGATGTATTTTCAAATTGTTCAATGTTTAAAAACTGAAAACAAAAGAAGTAATAGCATCATATGTTGGCTGTTGGGTTCAGAATAATTTGTTGCTTACTTAACATTAAATCATCTATAAAGAAACTATTTAGTCCCTTTTAGATGCCATCACAGACTCAGTGTGATAGAATTCAGGTCAAAATATGGATTCATCACCATTTATATATTTGTATCTCACATATATTTCATTATTGATTTTAATCTCTATGCTATTATATCTAATCTCATCATAATAATAATTATTTTTTCTATTATCGTTATTTTTAATTTCACGGAAACTAATTTTGCTTCTCATCTAAATTGTTATCGAAAAAAAAGTGAGATCTAGCACAATACTTATTACCCTTTTCATTATATATATATATATATATATATATATATATAAAACTTACATAATGCACAATAGATGGCACAATTTTTATGTATAAAGAAGAACTCATGAATTTAAGTATAATCATATTTTGTTTTTATTTTTTAAAAAAATTTATATTAACATTTGAAATTTATATCCCTTTCTTTTGAATTCAAATTTCTAAACACAAATTTAATTAACAAAAGAAATTCCTCTTTCATTGATCAAACAACAAAAATTAAGAAACAATCATTGAGGAAAGAAAAACTAATACCTCGAAAACAAAAATAAGAATTTAGGGCTTTAATAATGTTTGTTTTTCAAAAAAAAAAAAGATTGTAAAAAAAATTCATACGTATAAATAAAATTAATAATCAACCAAAAAGAGCAAAATTAATTACCCGAATTAGTTTGGATAAGCCTATTGGGTCAAAAGACCTCTTTTTTTTACATGGGCTGGGCCCATTAATACCGAAATCGTGCTTCCCTTTGACTTCTTGCACTAAAAATACAATGATGGATTCCGAATTTGGCAATTGTTGTGAATCATAAAGTGTTTGAAGAAAAATACGAAAAGCAATTAACTGAGAAAAGCAAAATTTAAAAAAAATGTTGTCAAAAGGGATTAAAGTTAGGGCGTTTTAATCGAATTTTCCTCTCCTTTTTTCATTTTCCTGGTGAAAACTTCCTCATGCCCAGTTTTATTTTCAATCTTAAAATTTTTTTAATTGATTTTATCTCCTGTTTTTGCAGTGACACTGTAATTCGAGAGCTGGAGTCATTGCAGGTAATTTTTGGAAACCCCACATTAGCAAAGGCAGAGTATTTGATTTTTTTTTTTTTTAATTTCTTTTTTCTGTGATCTTTTTTAGACTTTCACTGTGTAGAAAAGTTCTATTTTTTGCTAAGCATAACTTTTTTTTTTCTTATTTGTGTTTCTCAGGCTTTATTGTATGTTGGTTTTGTTCTGTTTTATCCATATTTCATTTATTTTTATGATTTGAATTGAACTACTATGTGAAAAGGAATATTGAGTATTGCCAAGTAGTATTTTCTTTGACTATTACTGTACATAATTGTCAATCTGTTATTCAATTGCTGGCTGTTAAATTTGCTGGAAAAGAATGATTATTGCAGTTTGAATCTCTTGTTATTATGGGGAAGAGTGTGAGGGTTGAAAAAAGGGAAAGCAAAATAAAATGAAATAGTTGGGTGGAAAGTGTTACCTTTTATGGAGTTCTTGCTTGCAATCATCATTTGTTTAATTGTACATTTTGCATTTTCCAACAATTGAATGGAGGGAGTTTTTCGGATTTCCATTTCACTGCTTTCAAGTATCTTGGTTTAGATAAGTTTCGTCAGTGTTTTCTGTTTTCAAAATGAATTAATATACATGACATAACAGGTTCTTCTTGCAAATCGGGAATTGAATGCTTATGTGAAAAGGTGTTTAAAATCTGATCTTTTCTTTGTGGCATCCATATTCTGCAAAGATCTTTTGCCCTGTCTTTGTTCACCTCCTAGGTATCAATATTTTATCGGTTTGCTTATGCTAGAGTTTGATCTCTTTCTCTACCATTTTCCCTTTGCCCCTACTATTCCTCTTCTTCCTCTTTAGCCTTTGAAATTGCTTTTTAGAGCCTTGGTTGTTATAGTGGATTACAAGCATACATAACACTATGTTCAAGCTGTTGAATTTTAGGTTCAACTTTCAAGTGTTAAGAGTTTTATTAAAGTTTTAATTTCTTGTGTAAGCCTTGTTTTACCCCCTTTTTTAGAGGGAGAGGAGGTTTGGGAGAGATAAAAATAGCACTTATTTTAGTGTATACGGATGTATGTATGTATGTATGTATATGGTATATATAAACATAGGTTTAAAAAATATGCTACATACAATGTTTCTATAAAAAATCATGATTGCAAAATAAAATGTAAATTTTAAGTACTGTACATACATAAATCATTTCTAAAAAAATTCTAAAAATTAAATTCAATAAAATTAGAGTATAACTTAATGACCAGAAACAAATAAAACTAAAAAAAAGAACTACCAAGAACATAAAATTATTTGTGCAAAATTAATGCATTAGTGAATCATATGAAGTTCTTGGTTGTTTTGCCTCATTTAGAGTCTGTTTGATTGGTTTTTTGCTAGTTGCTTTTTGCCTCCAAAAGCAAAAATGAAAAAATTGCTTTTCCATAAGCAATAAAATTTTGAAGAGCTATACACAAAATATGTAAATTTGTTATGATTAACTACATGGTTCTACTTCTATATATACTAATTGTGTTATATATTTTAATTATTTTTTCTGTTTTAGACCAGTTATGATATATATATTTTACTTTTTTCTCTTCCTTTCTAGTTAAATATATACGTTTTATTCATGTTCATAGGGAACTTACCAAACTCCTTGACCATGCTCTAGAAATGCCAGTATGTAACGAGTTTGCTTTGAATATGGCAGCTAACAACATCAGTGAATCTTAGGTTTCTTGATGCAAATCATGGCTAATAGATTCACTTGAAGCCTACTTATCTAAAGATTTTCGGATTTTTGGAGGATGAAATACAGAGGTGGTGCTGATGTTAATAATATTGGAGACTGAACACTGTCAAACAACATAGAGGTGGAAATATACTGACTTTTTCAGGTTTCAGGGTTGGTTTTATTTGTTGACTTCATTCTACTATTTTTTTTTTTTGGAAAGATATATACCAACATCTTATGTAAATATGTAACTTGATATAGATAATTTGTAATTTTGGGGAAGAGAGAGAAGGAATGAAATTGAGAAGATAGTGGTTTTTCTTTGAAATTTTGCCATGATGTAAAGTTGTTCTAGTCAGAGTTTTTTGATGTTATGATGCTTAAGAAATCCAGATACTAGTGATATCTTTCCCCAAAATAGTTCATTCTTCAACTCCATCTATTTCATCTGGTTTGTTTCTGGGAATAAAAGCATATTCCTTATTGGTTGCAAAATTTTCATTCATTTTAGCTTCAAATTTATCGAACAATTAAATTATTAATTGACTTGGTTAGTATTTGTTGAACCATATAACTTAGAAAATGCAATCAG